TATTTCTAAAGAAAGTGAAAGATTTTGGTATAGCTATGGTGGTATTTAAATATGCGCGCAAAACGATTACAAATTGGTTTATTTCTGGTATTTTCGTTCGTATTTTCATATAAACTAATCATATGCTGAGTACATTTAAGTGAAAGATTAGTAATTTTCATGACAAGCTGATGAAGATAAGTTAAAAACGGATGATATTTTAACTTGAGAGTTTGAGGTGAATAAAAATTGAAATTTAGTTTGTAGATACTTAATTGAGGATAAGATGAATATACTTTTCATGTTCTGAAAATTGTTTTAGTTGAGTAAAAGAGTGGAACAAGAATGAAATTCCAGAACGTATTTTGAATATGACGTGAATGACACATTTATTGTTTAGAGTAAATACATTTTGATCGTTTGATGAATTTCTTCTCAGCAGTTTCTCACTCTCACTACATCACTCAATTTGCATATTATACAGTTGGAAGGAGAAAAATGCTAATGCTAAAAAATTGATGCTCAGTAACAAAATGACTCGTATCAAAAAACCTTCTCATATCTTTAGTAAACTTCATTTAACAATTTTAATTTTAATAGTTTGGATAGTATTCTATAGAAACATGATGTTAGATTAAGAAGAGAAAGTTTTGTAAAGTAATATCTTAGAATTGAAAAACAAATTTGAAATTACCATATACCTTTGTATTTTATAGTTGTTATTTATTTTCATTATATTGTTTCATCTTTCGTAAATGTCATCTACTCTTTCGTTACTTATGATTATTATAGTTATTAACAATTTTTAATCAGATTATATTCTGAGATATCTTATTGATTTTCGTTTTGTTTTTAGCTAAAACATCATCTAAATATTCCCTACTTAGACCAATTTTACTCCTTCCTACTTGTTTTTGGTGAAAATAAATCAATTGCTTATTGCTGAGAGCAGAAATGTTCTGAAGTATATAACTGATACATATTGTTGATTGTTTGTTGTAGCTGTCAAATATGAATGAATACTTTGCAATCTATAAACATTATTGCCGCCGAGACATTGAATAAAATGTTTGGCAGATCAAGTAAGATGTTTCAGATACAGTAACTGATTAATTGATTCTATAAATATTAGGTATGAAAAGGAAATCCAATAAGAAATCAAGAAAATTGAAAAATATCTTAAATTTGTTTGCAAATTAGATCTGTATTTAGTTATAAGCTGAAGCACATGAAGAAAACTTTCTGGAGATGTTAGAAGTTTTCAGGTTAAGAATGCAAAAGGGCTTGTAGTGGATAAAACAGGTCGGTTGATTTGCTTCACCAAAAATTTTTGTTCATTAAGGGTCATATTGTTAGTAAAAGATGAGCATATTTTTATTCTTATCTTTGCTTCTAACTTAATTATGCTTATTTTTGTCAGCAAACAATGGTATATATCAATTCTTCATCGTTGTATGCAAATTGGATTTAGCACTTTTGTAATGGAACAAAATTTTAGATCAAAAAGTTAGGTAAATGGAATAATCATTGTAGTTTGAATAGATATTTATTTTCTGCTTAGTAAGTTAGTTGTTGCTCAGAGAGAGAAAGTTTTCTGTACGTACTGATAATAATTAGCTTTGTTTTTATCTTTTGTAAGCAAATTCTTTGTAGTAATTTGCTTCTTAAGTAGTGTTATTGTTTGTTTGTTTTTTTTGCAGAAATTTTTTCACTATTGATTTTCATTGGTATTAATGATGATGATAAAATAATGAGATAACTTGAAATGAAACCAATAAATTATAATTATTTTTTCAAGGCATTGTTTTTATGCAGGTTTTTTCACTTCTGCTCTTTCTATTTTATTCAGCATGAACTATATAAATTGGAATAATTGCATAGCATGAATCCATCAGTAATTTATGTGGCTAAATTACAGTGACATTCAGTGCTTTGAATTTTCTGACGTTTCACGGTTTTCATTCGGTTTTTAGTTAAGTTTCGTCAGTTAGAATTGAAACATGCTACATCCTGTGTTTTTCCTAGTGCTTAAAAAGTCAGCAGTAGATTCAAAATATTTTTATTTTATTTTGTAAATGACAATCTGTTTTCTTCTTTCATTTTTGTTTTGTAGCATTTCCTAAAGATAACTGCTAAATTCTAAATTCAGTGACAGATTATGCGTTGAAACTTCTCATGTAGTCATTTATTGTTATGCCATAAATTGTGACTTGAAGCTGCAGAATTGCAGTTAACGCTTAATTCTTCTTTAAAATGCTTGAATGAAAAAATTTTTATACCATTTAAAGATGACATTTAGAATTGGTAGTGATAAACAGCTGTGACGTGAAATCGCTTTTCTTTACGATTAAGTAAAGTAGAAATTTGCATAATAGATTGTTTTATATTCGTGAAAGAAAGTGAATTAGATATCACTTTCAACAGTAGAAAGAATGATTACTAGGTCTTTATGATATCCATCTAAAGATATGAAAGTTCACTGATTTCTGAAGCTTATATTAGTAATATCTCTTGATGCAAACAATATATTGTTATTATATCTGATTCGCAGCTGGTTATCCATGAATATTGTCATTTTTATCAGTTTATCTTTGTTGTGAGTGAAGACAATTCCATACATATTCTTTGGCATTTTGTTTCACTTTTCGATGACTGAAGAATTAAATGGCCCCATTACCACTTAATTGCTCTTCACATGAAAAATTTCAAGCCAAAGTTTTAAACTTAAAAGAAAAAATACATAGAATACAATATTTGCTAGACCTTATACTAATTGCTTTCTTGAGTTATTTACAGTTATTGTGTCTGAATTGTAAACTAAATGAAATTCAACTTGAAATGTGTAGATTTGATCTAAGAAAATAGCTCATGAAAGCAACAACATGCAAAGGTCAACTGTATACGATTGTATATTTCTGTATGTTAGTAATTCTCAAATACAAAATTGTTGCTATGGGAATTGATTTTACATGAATTACTTACAAGTAATCAGTCAGTTATTGTTTGCAATAATTTTCATGAGAACTCAGTTTAAATATAGTATTTTTAAGATGCAGTGATTAAGGAAATTTAGTGTGTTTTGCTTTATTATTAGCTTGTTAGGATCAGGTGGAATTGAATCGGATTAAGTTAAGAAAATTTTGCATTTAGTATTACTTTTGTAGCAATTTAAAATGTTTACTGAGACTAAGAAAATGCTTACTTACTATTCCTAGACTTTCACTAGCTGTAAGCTGAGTATACTTACTACATATTTGGTATTAGGCATCGTTTGCTTTACAGTTTCTGGACCTTACTACAAACTTAAATTAAAAGCGTGTAGTTTAATGTGTTTACGCTAGTTTTTCTCAATATTTTCTCTGTAGTAATGATAACTCTGCGTACTGCTAATAGTGACTGACTTATTACTTTTAACCTGTTGCTAGCACTCTTAGATTCTGTAAGCATTAATGTAAAGAAATCAAAATGTATAATATAATGATAATGAAATTATAAAACATGATCAAGCTTTGCTTATTTTTCATAACTTTTAAACAACTGAAGCAATTTCACGTTTAATAACTGCAAAAGCTAGAAGGAAACAGATGTACTGTTAGAAGTACGTTGGCGCTGTATAATTTATTTTATCACTTCACGCTTGTCTTATTTTATTCGTATTTTTTATGTGTTTTTTATATTTTTTATTGCAATAGAAATGCACGCGCAATGTATTCCTTCTCAGTGATGTTCATGTTTGTTTTGTTCTTTAATTATTCTAACCATAATTGGATTCACTTTGTTTTATTACTTTCTTGTTCTATATTTCATTTATGCAAGCTAGAAATTATGACAAAATAATTCAACTCAGCTATCATTTTCACTGTAATAATTATTCACGACAACTACATTTATATCCTTTCTTTTTTTTATTTTGCTTTTATACTCACAAACTATTTTTTACTTTTAGTTTATTTATATTCTAATAATAATAATTGAATAAAAAGGCTGTTAATTCTTTTTTGTGCTTTTTCCGACAAGATTTTTATGTCAAATATGAATTAATTAAGGCATATTTTATGATGACTGAAATAATTCTAGGAGAGTATATGCCAACAATGTTTGCAAATGAACTTTTAGACTCCTCTGACGTGACGCCTTGTGTTGGTCATGAAGTTACTTTGAATAGTAGTGATACTCCGATATTCTCATTTTCGCGTCAAGCAAAATCACATGAACAAGTGACGACAACTACTACTACGCACCTCTCATCAGAATCTCAGTTTTCATCAGCTGTCAATGACGAAGAATGCGGTATTGGTGATATTAGCGCTAAAGAAAGTGATAGAACGATTAATGGCACTTGTGGCTCACGTCAACAATATCATTCTACTCTACGTCGATTATCACGCGAACATATTCCATCTTTTCGGTATTTGAGTGGTCCATCTGGTTCTACATCTCACATGACTTCTATGGTTGTTGAGCTAAACCATTCACGATCCCGTATTCATTCACATGCTAATCCTATGGTTTGCTATGTTTTAATTTACATTTATTCCATTTATATCACTTCTTTTTTCTTGATAGCAGTTATTATAATAGTTTTTGGTATGTCAGCAACAAATAATCATGTTTTTGATTAATTATTTTTTTGCAGGGAACTTGTTTTGAAGATGCGTCTCGACCAAGTCGTTTTGATCAAATCATCAATTCTGCACCTCCTTCTCTTGAAGTAATGGAAGCACATGCATGGAATCCCGATGATCGTTCGCTTAATATTTTTGTGAAAGATGACGATAGACTGACATTTCATAGACATCCTGTGGCCCAGTCTACTGATTCTATTCGTACCAAGGTTGATTAAATAATTTGGCATATTTGAAAATAAAATTGCACTGATATTCATGCCAATCCAGTTATGTACTACTCTTAATTTGAAAAAATTATTGCCAGAGAACAAAGAGGCTACAAACTCTGTGAACAGAGTGTGGATGATATTAAGTAAACGTAGCATTCTTTAACTTCCTATGTCAAAATTATAATATAAATATGTTCATAAAATAGGAGTAGAAAAAATAATACATTCATAGTAAAAGTTGATAATCAAATGTAATATGTAAAATATGAAAATTTTTGTCAGTATTATTTATTTTAGATTGGTTTTACAAGAGGATTCCACGTGTGGCAAATAAAATGGCCTCAGCGACAGCGAGGAACGCATGCTTCGGTTGGCGTGGCAACAAAAGCAGCATCTCTACATTCTGTTGGCTATACTTCACTTGTCGGTTCAACTTCCGAATCTTATGGATGGGATTTGAGTTAGTTTCTTCTACTAATTATTATAATTCATTTATGAAGCAGTGATTTTCTCTTGCCTTCTCTTCAATATTATACTAGTAGATCTTAAAAGCTGAATTTTATCCACTTCACTACTTCTCTCGTACGTAATCGTTCCTTTGTTCTATTATCACTTCTTCTTTCACAGTAATTCTTTTCAGCAAGATATATTTGCATTGATAAAAGGAAACGCTACTTTGATTAATTTTAATCTTTATATTGCTCTGTCCCTGAATACTAATCTGCAATTTCCTAAAGACAAACTATTGCTCTTTGTGTTGGGACATTATTTGCGTGAGTTCACATTCTTCCACTATTGCCTTTCCTTCCTCTCATAAAAGCACTCTGTCTATTCCATTTTTGATGTATTTAACACTCTTACTTAATTGTATAATTTACAGTTATAAACTTTTTGCAGTACGAAACAAGTGTCATCACAATTCGAGGAACTCAAGTTGTTGGACATATCCCGCTTGTGCTGTGCGCGATGAAAATGTTATAGCACCTGATGAGTTTTATTGTATTCTTGATATGGATGATGGATACTTGGCTTTTGCATCTGATGCTGAATATTATGGCGTTGCATTTACGGGTTTGAAAGGTCGAAAGCTATATCCTGTAGTTTCTGCAGTGTGGGGCCATTGTGAAATCACTATCAAATACCTCGGAGGACTTGATCGTTAGTTTTGAATTTATTATACAATATGAATATTAATATTAGCTATATTTAAAGTGTATTACATTATAGAATTTTTTTTTTTAAATCACACTTCCTGTTTGTAAATCAGATTATTTAATCTTCTTTTGGTATTAGCTACAACAAGTATAGCCAGTAGCTTGATCTATTTATTATAACTCAGTAAATTGGTGCATCTTTTTGTTAAATATGTAGCTGAAATTTTGTGGATTATTATTATTTGCATGTTTTTACTTACTTACTGGACTAGATACTGAATTATTTTGTAGTATTCATTACTAGTTATTAAGCCAGTTGGTGGGATTTTACAGTAAATAAAACAGACGTTTAACATGAGAAAAACTCTGCGAAAAAAGCATTAAATGTGTAATAAAACGGTTAAAATTATCATTTGAAGCGTCAAATGAGACTATTTTCACGTTATTTTTGGGATGTTTAATTTTAACTTTTGATTTTAGCTGAACCATTATCACTTATGGAATCGTGCCGTCGATCAATTCGAACTTATTTAGGAAGAGAAAATATTCATCGCGTGCGAGAGCTGAGGTTACCGAATGGCCTCAAAAAGTATCTCATGAATAAATTGTAACATGTGCATGGTAATTTAACTACCCAGAGTGTAATTTTTTTGTTTGTATGTACAGTTTCTTATTGATGATTCTTTTCTGATCTGCAGAATATTTATTGCTATAGGTCGTGCAATAATTGCAGAATTCTTGAAATTGTATTAGAATGAAGCAGTTTTCGTGCAGCACTTTGCAAATGAAACTGTATTAATGCTTTTCAGAAATGTATAGTTTAGAATAGTGTAATCAAAAATTAAGAAGTGCATTAGTTAGTTTATAAGCTCAGAAACTGTTTAACGAGTGTAAATTTTATAGCTCATTATTACTCACACTATAAGTGACTAAATATTATCTTACATCTATTACTACAGCAATTATTTTGTCATTTTCGCATTTTAACCATTAACTTAAATCTATGTTATTATGTATATGTCTTTTTAAAAAGATACTTATTGTGTGCAAATCATTAAACTAAAACTTGACATATTTTGCTATCTATCATCAGAGTGAACCTCATCGTATCAACAAACTTTGTTGTGGATTTGTGGTATATAAGTATGCTTCATTTCATATTTTATGGATATTTATTTTTTACACAGAAAGCTTGCTCACTTAGATTGTAACTATTCACATTTTGCCTGCATAAATAGTTTCTTATGCTCCAGAATTAACTTTTTATGGATAACTTAACTAAGATTCACAATTTCTATGCAACATTTATCATGAAATTTGGTATCTAATCAAAGAGTTTTGAACTGGTGAATAGCAAATTTTACTTAGCATTTATTTTAGGTAGTCATGTTTTGTTTTTGTTTTCAAGTATGAAGTATGTGTGATGTGAACAACTTGTTCAGATTTTTGAAAGGTGAAATGGCTTATTGTGAAGCAAAACCGTAAAAATTTATTTTGATTAAAGCATTCACAGTACTAGAGAGGTTTTTCATATAAAATTAAAACAGTTATGGAAAATGAGGAAACCTGCACAAGTAGGGGTTATGATCATAAAATCGAAAAATAATGTTGAGTTTACGCTGGAAATAATGAAAGCTAAAATACAAATATCAAACAATATCACGAATGCAAACATGTCTAAGGGCAGAGTGCAAATTTCTAGAGAAAATCATTATCTTAATTTAACAGGACATTTTGGTAGCATTATTTACAAAAGTATGATTAAAATTTACAATAATAAATTCATTTGAACTGATTGTAATATTATTAAGCTCTTGATCATTATTAAAAGAAACAATTTGTTTGTTAATTTGTATGAGGATTAAGAATGAGCATCATTAATTGACTTTGGTTTCTCAGCTACATACTTTGTGATTGATTGTAATGCTGATATCACGTCTTCGCCTAAAATATTGTAAAAGTTTTATGAATTTTTCTAAAAGTAAAAGTAAATTTCTATGAATTGATGATCAGTGTGAGAAACATTCAAACAAAGGGATTATGAATGACACAAACTTTGCTTCATATACAATTTTTGATAAAAATCGTCTACATTAATTTTTATCCTTGTAATACATCTATTTTGTTTAGCTTTAAGTAGTAATTTTACTGAAATACTTTTTTATTACGCAAAGAGAGAGATTTTTTTAAATACAGAAATAGATAATCATAACCTGTATTTTTTAAACTTTGTATGAAAAAAATTGTGATCACTTAAACATAACATTTTTGTCTGAACTTTGAACTTTATCTTGATCATTATATATAATTTCATTTCATCAATTTTATTTATATATAATGATCAAAATATCAAAGTTAAAAGAATTTGGCGCAATCAACAAACCAGTTGGCGCAATAAATTGTGCTGGAATAGTAAAACCATAATGGTGATCAACATCTTCAGGTCTTAGCTCAATCGCATAAATGTAAGGTACACCTTTATCTTGCATATAATCAATGCTTGTTCCTGATGCTAGATCTAAATCACTTCCAGTTAGAAAGAACTGACAAATTAAGTATCGAAGCTATTTACTTTCTTATTTTTTAATTATAAAATTAGTCAGCATGAAAATAACTAAATGAATAATTGAAGTTTTTTTTTTTTTTTTGAATATAAAAATATCTTCCAATTTGAATTATCTAAAAACTATTAGTAAATAACCAAAAAGGAAGATTTAATTGAAAAAAGAAAAAAAAACGAAATAAAATTACATAAACTCACAAATTTAGTAACAAACATTTAGCAAACTAACTGACACATCAATTCCGAGATTGTGCCATAATTATACTTTGCACCAGTTTTATTTCGAATTGCTTCGACTGCTAAGCTTGCTGCATATTCCTGTAATTAAGCTAATTCTAATAGCAAAATCATCAAGAAATCCTTTTTATATACATAAGTTATTTGTATTTTTATTAATGAGTACACCTTTGAAACTTTTTTTTTCGGTACTTCTGTATACTTTATTTCTTATTGATATTTATTTAGCACTTTAATTTATTTGTGTTGATTTGACTGTCAAAAAAAATACTTAAATTTAATCAAAGAAGTTGATAATTTCATTCATTATTCTTACAATAGTTTTTATTGATTGAACAAAAACTTTTCTTGCTATAAAAAGACAATACATCATGTAATACTATGGTTAATAATTTAACGAGAACTAACTTGATCATGATGATTATTTGGTTTATCATTGGTATAACCCCATGGTGCAAGTATAAGTTGTCCATAGCTATGTAAACTAATGTATATCTTGAGTTCAGGAACTTGGTATATAAGAAAATCTCGAATACCTGCTGTTTCTACTTCACTAAATGGAGCAGAACCTGGGTATGTGCATGAACATGGGCTATGATTTGCGCCTGTTTCTACAAAATGTTAATAATCGCTGTATTTTATAGATCTATAGCTAATGACTAAAATAAGCAAATGATAAAATGATTAAGATATCAAACTATGAAAATGATAAATTTTTTTTTTTTACATTAATAATTTAAGGAACTTTTATTTTATTCTATCTTCACGATATAAGATTTTCAAAAACTCTAGCAGTCATATTTATTTTTTATTTTTGGAAGCAACGAAAATTATATTTATTTGGCTATTAACGTTGACATTGAAATGTTTGCATATTATTTAACAGATTTGCATAGAATAGTCACATTTTCAATCAGTTCTGACTAAGATAATTTTTTATTCAAAATATTGAACAGATTATTTTATTGTTACAGAACATTTTGTGTTAAAATTTTTTTATATTTAATCAAAAAATGATCCTTTTGTTGACCTTTTGTTACTATCAATTTCCACTTTGTTTGAAACTTTTTATAACAAAATCCTATGATGGTTACGGAGTTGAAATTGATGACAAAATTAGTAAAGTTTTAGAGTTTATTTAAATAAAAGATGCACTAAATTTAATTGAAAATAATGAGCTTTCTCCAGAAAGAAAATAAATTTGATCTCGTCTTACAAATAATGCGATAATTTCACCAAATATTGAATCTTACCTCCCCATCGGTAGCCCCAATTTCTATTTGCATCAGCACCAATGCACCATTTATTTACTGTTATATTTTTTGATCGTGTTTTTCGCCATAATCTATCCTAAAAATCAACTTATCTTATCCCTTAAAATATCCAAAATCAAAATGTTAAATGGTACTATTTTTTTAATTTTTATTTTAAATATTTGCTACAGCATTACCAATTTTATATAACTTTACATGTTGAGAAATGAATTTTTATTTTGAGTGAAAGTCAAAAATATAAATACATAGGTCATGCTATATTCATATCCATCTGGATTAGCAACTGGCACAATATACCAATCAAAGTTGTCCACCATACGAGTTACATCAGAATCTCTTCCATATTTAGTTATAAGCTAAAAATTTGTTTCATGAAGATCTAATATCAGTATTTCAATTAAAATATTAAAAGTATTAAGTAAACTCTTAAAAGTTAACATTTCAACCTTGCTAGCAATATACAACGCTACAGCAGGTGCAATCCATTCACGAGCATGAATTCCAGCATCAATGAAAATGGCAGGCTTGAAGGACAAATTATTACCAATCTATATTTTAATCATTTTAGTTAATTTGAAAACTTTTCTTTAAAAACAAACCATAAGCATGATAATAAAACAAAATTTTATCAGTTTTCAAGAAATTTTTAGTTACTTAAAAGTTATTAAAAACTCACGACATGTTTACATTACAACTATAAATTTTAACTGTGATAATTTTTTGGTTGGCGTACTTCAAAAGATTCATTTAATTCAAATAAATTTTCGATTTAAAAGAAGCCACGTACTTTTATGGCAACCATTTTACGACCTTCATATGTTCGTGCAATGTTAAACACTTCAGCTAAATTTGGATACTGATTTGAAAGCATTTTGAGGTAATCTACAATCTGCAACATTTATTATGCAAAATTTTTTGAAAATAGAACTAATTAATTACCATAAAAAACTTTATAATTCCTTTAGAGTTTTTTATTAAAAGCCTTCTGTACTAATGTTTACTGTAAGTATGAGATGAAAATCAACAAGTAATATTAAAAAAAAACCCTATCATAACGATGGTAAGCAGAGAGGTTGAAAGCAGTTGACGAATTATCATTTAACGAACGGCGTAACCGATAATTCAATTTTATTTGTGCTAAATCTCTCTTCTCTCGATCTATATCTCTGAAAAAACTTTCTAAGTTAGTTGTATAATTTTTTATTTTGGTTTTTCAATAATTCATTTTTCAATTTATCAAAAAAAATTCATATCATTCTTAAAAGCACTGACCATTTTTCAAATAAGTTTTCAAAAAATTTCCAGTTACTTAAAAGTTATTAAAAAAATCATGATTTTGTTACATTACAACATAAATTTTAATTGTGATAATTTTTTTAAAGCACATTCTTTTACTTTTGTATATCCTTCATAATTATTTGCGCATCATTAATGCCGCGCATTTTGAGAAGAACTAAGAAAGTATCGAGAAATTCAGGTGCAACCAAAACATCGACATGATTGCGGTAGATATTTGGTTCTGACCAAATATCAACTATTGTTCGTTTTGGTTCTGGGAACTTAATTGTAATACTTTGTTACTTTCAGTTTGGAAATTCAAAAATTATTAAATTACCATTGATTTATTTTATTTTAACATTTATTTTCTTGGAGGTACAGAGTTTTGAATTAAAGCTATAATAGAATTTATAAATGGAATTTCAATAAAATTTTAGTGAATTTTGGTTTACTACAGTAAATGTTTAAAATGATTATTTTGAGAGTAGATATCAACTTTACTAGCTTACATGGTTTAAATTAAAATCAGCAGCTTCTATTTCTTCTATCCAATCCAGTTTCGCAGTTTTAAATCGTATCAAACTATATCTGAATTAATTAAATAATTTGCACAAGAAATACCTTAGGTTATAAATTTTCTGACATCTGTGATAATATCATATTTACATATAGTAAACAACAATTTGACGAGATTCGACGAAAAATAGTAATAAATAGTTACAGCAGTGAGAAAATATTTGTTATTTTTTTGTAAAAACGGATAAAATTAATTTATCTTTATATGTAAATGCACAAATAAATTAAATAACTACTTTAGGTACAGTACAATTGAAGGATAATCAATGATACGGAGCTATATTTATTTTTTTAATAGTAAAAATGAAAAAATTTTTGCAATAATTTTTAACTAAATATATTTTATTTACTAAAAGTTAGAACATTTAACAAAGTAAATATTAATTTAAGTTACTTATTTTTTTAACTGAGCTAACACACACACATACACAAATGAAGTATGTTTGAAAATATTGCAATTAAAGTAGTGCGAAATAAAATAGTAAAATACCCGCGATATGACTGTACAGCGCAACAGAAAAACCGGAAATATAAAGTAATTTGAATAATGAAAATTGCCAACATCTGAAAGTGATATTGAATTCAATTAATAATAGAAATTTAAATGATAAAAATTGAATTATCAGTTAGATAAGAAAAATTAGAATGATGGCAAAGTATATATCACTTCTGCAAACTTACTTTATCAAAAATATGATTTTAAAATTTATAGAATTGAGAATAATAGATAAATAATGACACGAAGAAATCCAGTAATGTCGTTATAGAAATAAAATGATAGGATTAATTTCTACAAATAATACTGTTGTTCTGTTAATAAATATTCATGCTTGACTTAGCTTCTTTTACGTCTAAAAACTTTTGTAAAATTAGTGCACAAAGATAATAAAAATGACAAAAAAATCCAAAAATATTTAACACTGCTAATATACAATCATTTTAAATGTAAAACTATGTGTGATCCGTAACAGTTGAAAATTACAATTAATTAGCACATGAAAAATTTTATTAATAAATAATAATAATTTTTAATTGTATATTTCTGTTACCGAAAAAATAAATTTATTTGCTTCTTTTATTCATTATTCCACTGGTATTTATTTTAGCTAAGATATAAAAGTTTAACAAATAAATTTGAATTTTATGGAACAAATTTAAAAGTAACATGCAAGTTTTATCAGGCACTGGATGTCAAATGATTGCTGTAAAATACTGCGGTAGTGGTGAAAAATAATCGCAACGATTGAAAGATTCTCAACTGATAACAAAATGTTAGGTATATAAAGACAATCAAATAGTTCATGATGTTATCAGTGTAATACTCATGAAACCAAATAAAATGAATATTATAATAAATTAAAACCACTTTATGAAACTTGCATGCTAATTACAAAATCAGAATTATATATCTGAAGAGAAATAAATCTAGACTAATTGATGAATATAATAATTTGTTATAAAAACAGATATGAAATGTAAGTGAATTTTCAAACTTATTATAAATTAATGCAATTATTAATTATGATTAGTGTAAAAGTGATAAATGTATATATTATGAAAAAATAAAATAGTGAGAAGAATTTTGAAATAACTAAAAAGTAGTAATAAACAATTTGGATAAAATTAGTTGATTTAAGCAGTTACCAATGTAAATTTTAATATTGCTGTTTGGATGTGTCACATGGATTACTTGTTCACTTCGACGCATGTCACTATCTTTTTCAACTATAAAACAGTAAAGTGACAGTAAACTGACACTGTCGAATAATTTGTTGATTATTTTTCAATTACAAAAATATTTTACAATATTTCTGTGCTAAATTTAAAAAGCATTCACTAAAAATTATATCACTGGTAAATTTAATTTCTTTATCAGCTACGCAAAACTTTTTCATGCCTCGCAAATAATTACTTTACTTTTTTTGTTTTGTACGCAAAAATTACGTGTTCATTCATTCATTCTTTTTTTTACTCTTTTGAATATAATCTTTCTTCAATTACTGCTACAAAAGTTTATTTCTTTAACTCAAAATAATCCCCATATCTCAACTTATATATTAAATGTAGAGTATGCAAAAGTTATATGCATAATGTCATTAGTGCAGAAAAATTTTTACTTTCTCTATACGTTCATTAATCTGCAGATAATTTCTCCACAAAGGCTTTGTACATTTACTTTTCAAACATTTCGCTTTTTTTTCACAAAAACTATATCTATCACAATCATAATTGCTGAAATAATTATTAATCATAAAAGTTTCTTATGGTTATTTTGAAAAAAAATATAACGACTGATATTATTTCCTCGTTTATTTCTATTAAGATTATTATAAGAAATGGCAAGAAACTTTCAAAGTGTAAATTAAAAAGAGCATTGGTTGCTGAAAAACTGAAGATTTAATGAAAATAATTTAAAATGTACTTAAGCAGCAGCTGAATAACTCAGAATTAAAATGTGTTAGGTAGTAGTTTAATTTCTTTAAGTTTTTACAATCTGAAATTTAATATCTCTAACTTTTCTGATTCAGTCTAACTATTACTCACATCTGCAATATATTTTACTAACGATACACAGATAAAGCACACTTCCAGAATTATAAAAATAAAATGAATCCGTAAAAGTAGAGTTGCAGCAAATTTATTTAAAGTTTTGTTCATATGACAAGCATTAACTAGGTTAGTTAATGAGCTTAAATCGATCAAAAATTTTTTGAAGTACTGATTCATGAATGATAATTCTGTTTATATTTTGTTAGCTGTAATGCTATCCTTCACTGAATTAATGCTCTATTATTATGTAAACAGAAGCAATGCAGCAAACATTTTTGGAAGCGAATTTGAAATACAGAAATAATAATTTTAATTGAAATATAGGACAAATCTGACAAAAAAGTAGACTCTGCAAAGTGTTGAATTGATTTAGTAATCTGCATAAAACGCAAAAATATCATATACAAAGTATATATAGTTTGCAAAAATTTTCTTCCTTATTTTCAAATTATTGCAGTTAAATTAATAAATGGACAAATATCTATTATCAGTAGTAATCATTCAAACATGGTTGTTTGCAGTAGCAAAACAAAATAAAAAATAAAAATATATATATTTTAGAGTGATTTTTTAAGATTACGACTATACAATATTAATTGCATTATACAATATTAATTGGCGGTTATGTGAAAATTCATGAGATGTACCATTTTAAAAATTCAGAAGAACTTTATTATTACTGCTAAGAAATGCAGAAAATTCTGTACAAATTAAACAAAAAACGTCTGCAACTAATTACTAGAAAAGTAAAAGTAACTAAATACGCTCAAAACAGATTGATGATAAATAATTATTAGCATTATTAGCTAGAAAACAACATTATATATACGAAAAAATTATCGTGAAGTAAAGCTACAGACAATGTTTGCAGCTGCATCCCCAAATATATACGAAAAAAATTTTTTTTTGAGGTACAGTATAGTTTTTATCAAATAGAAAAATAGCCAAAACAACGCAGTTCGAGAAATATTATAAGTAACACATGTCCAACTAGAATTATTATTGCAAGCTACAGAACAATACTGCATTAAATCCAATCCGACCAATCCTTAGAATTCCAAAATAGCTTTTTCTTTTTTTTTACACACACACTGAATTGCTTGCTTTTTGGAAAATATGATTTGAATTACAGATTATTATCTTCGAAACCTCCGAATTCTTCATTTATTAAAAAACTTTAGTTCTAACAATATTAGTATTCAATAACTTTACAAGTAAAATATCATGTCAGTAATCATCATATCCTTGTGCAATAAAAGATCTTGATCTTTTGTACAGAAGGTATCTCTCTAAGACATAATGATTTTTTCTTGACCACTGATTCCAAAAAAGTCGGTACGATAACTGCACTGAAAACAATTACAAATTAAAAAAAAACTTGCATCTGTAAGAAAAAATTGCATCTGTAGTTAGTACGATTCCTGAAGTCATTTCGAATAAATTGTACTTGGAATGCAATCTACATTTATCGGAAACAGTTTCTACTCCTTATTAAAAAATTGCATACTGGCAACGCTTAAGAGTCTACGTAGAAGATATATCAATCGTGAATCTAACTCATTTGTAGTGAAATCTTCTTCGCCTTGAATCTACACTTTAATTTTGCAATAGTTGATAGGTCAGTTTCATACTGATAAATATAACGGTTCACTTAGAAAGCATATCCCGACGACCAATTAATAATCTGTTTCTTAGACATGCAACAAGAACCACATAATTATGCAATGAAGTACAAAACTTTAAATTATTTCAAAAAGCGAATTTGAAACTTGCTAATATTGGAATATAATCACTGCAATGTATGCAAATTTCTGTAGAAAAACTGCTAGACCTGAAGGAGTCAAATATTACTGCAAAAAAATTGTGATCGCTAATGCAGATTTTGGAATGATGAGTAACCACCAGTGATTTTTGGAAATTTATTTATTCCACACGACATAAGATTTCCATACGTCTATTTATTACATTCACACAATTCAGTTACCTTCATTAAGAGCAGAAATATAAAACTGTAAGCTGGTATCACAGGTAAAATCCAATGTGGAATCGCAGTCCCAAAAGGATTGACATAAAACAAAGTAAATTAAAAAAATACAGCAACAAAACTGAGTGAGCCAGAAAAGTTGTACGAAATTTTAGAAATAATTAAATGTTAATGGAAAAAGATTTAATAGGTCAATTGGATGGTATTGAGCAAGACAAGATAAAATAACAAGAAAACGGGCAAATGAATAAGGATGAGATAATGGTAGAGCATGCTTGATGCCTCCGTTCTTTCATAATATTCTTCACAACTTTTATCATATCAACTATTGTCATCAATAATACCAGCTGAAGTAATATTGCCGTCTTTAGTGAGTGACCCAAAATTCGTAGCCTTTACGTTTGAAATTCAAAATTCGAAATTAAAAGTGATCCCCTTGACATTGTTGATCAACGCTGTCTAAGTTTACGACCAGTTATTATACGATTTGTGCAATGAATTCTTGTTACGAAAACCGGTATCACATAAATTCTCGTCATAAAGAATGAATATATATATATATATATATATATATATATATATA